GGTACATATGTCACAACTGATGAACCTACACTGAAACCATCCAAAGTCCTTAGCTGACCTTAGAGTTCACTCTTGGTGTTGTACATGCTATGGGTTTTAGAAAATGTAAAATGACATGCATCTAATATCATAGTCTCACACAGAGTATTTTCACTGCCCTAAAAATCCTCTTTTATCCTCCCACCCTTAAAGATCACCGATCCTTTTACTGTCTTTATTGGAGCAATTGCATTTTTCAGACCTGATCCCGAGGAAATCATTAGGTGTCTAAGCTCTGATCCAGCTATGAGGACGTGTACCACCAAGTGTAATGGCAGGAAGTGCAAGTCACGTGACGCCCAAGAGCAGGAATCTGCTGAAATAAGTGACGCGTCTTCATTTGACGAAATCACGCTTAGCCATTAAAAATAATGTGAGCATCCATTGACCGGGGCAGAAGCTTATAATGTATTAAGTAAATTATGATTGCTAAGTAGTAGATAAAATATGAACCTTTTTTTTAGCAGATACATGCCATGTGTACCGACTGCTTGTCTTTGCATGTTGAACTTAAGAGCAGTCAGTTTTTAAAAATTTCCTCCTTTTCTGCTCACCTGAATTTTTTCTAGTTTCTCCATAGTTAATATACATCATTTATAATAGGGAAAATAATAGAAGCTACTTGTTAACAATTTATAATGCTTACCTAGGGGTCATGTTTTCAGATGAATTTTATTTTCCACTTTATATTAGGTTGAGCCTAATATGAAATTGCTGTCTCTGTAGGTGAAAAAGAGTTAAATGTGGGCACTTTTGTAACAGGGAAGAACAAATTTGACTTAATATTGGATCTGTTTCTTTTACTTTAATCTTTGTATTCTATTGCTTTTGCTACAAGTTAATCACTAAAAGGATGTTGCCTATGGCTGGATACATACAGGACAGCCCATTTTCAAGGCTTAGATCTTTAAAGGTACAACACTTTTCCATCCATACGGAGCTAAAAAGTTGCAGAAAGGAGAATAACATTTGTCTTGTTGGAGATTTATAGGAACATTGTGACCAGACCTGTGTGGGCAGCTGTAAGAACAAAGGATTCCAACACCAAGAAGTCTGTGACAACCAACCACACCTGGCCCCTTTTTAATATAAAAGAAGCCTGAATTCTAACTCGAGTAAGCTTGCTCTTTGGGGTCCTAGTCCACCATCTTCTCAGCCTGCTGGCGTTCTGAATGAAGCTGTTATTACTTGCCCCCACACCTCATCTCCCGATTTATTGGCCTGTCACATGGTGAGCAGTATGAGCTTGGACTCGGCAACACTTTTATATGGTTCAATCTAAATACGTTAAATATTTAAAAAATATTCTGCAGAGATCGCACCACATGTTCACTTAAATTCCACAAAGAGCTCCTGTAAAAGGTTTAAAATCATGGCTCTCATACAAATCTAAAAGGAATGTGTCCCAGATTTTATTTAACTCAGTTAATAAGGAAACAAGCAAGGTGTTACAACAGAGCCAATGGAAAATTCAAAGGACACACATATATGTACCATCATGAATGCTGAAAAATTTACAAATAGATGCAAAACTGGTTGATATCTGCAGGGCAAAAATCAATTGCATGTTCACCAAGGTTCATTTGCATTTCTATGTACTAGGATCATTTGTATTACCATCCGTTTGTTACAACTGTATATTAGTCAGTGTTCTCCGGAAACAGAACCAATAGGTCATTCATTCATTCATTCATTATGAGGAATTGGCTCATGTGATTACAGAAGCTGAGAGTCCCACAGTCGGCCCGCTCCCAGAAGAGCCTATGGTGTCATTCTAGCCCAAGACTGAAGCCCTGAGCACTGAAGGACTGATGGTGTCAGTTGCAGTTTGAGTCCCAAGGCCTGAGAACCAGACGCACCAGCATCCTAGGGCAAGAGAAGACTGGCGTCCCAGCCAAACGGTCCGAGAGAGGAGATTCCTACTTCCTCCAGTTTCTGTTCTGTTCAGGCCCCCTGTAAATTAGGGGAGGCCCGCCCCCTCTGGGGAGGAATCTGCTTTACTCTGTCTACTGACTCAAGTGCCACCTTCACAGACACATCCAGAAATAATGTTTAACCATGTATCTGGGTGCCCCATGATATGTCAAGTTGACACAAAAAGTGAGCATCAAAAAATTAGAATTTTCAGTAGCTCAAAGACAGCAGCTAACCCCACAAACTTCTTTGCCCATTTCAAAGTTTTTCCACTTACCCTTTTTATATCTGAAGATCAAGACCAACCCCTTGCCTGAACCCTTGGTCTGGACCCTGTGTCCCCTCTGCGCTCATCTGAGGTCCCCTTGGCTCCCCACCTAGTAGCATTCAGGCTCTATAAGCCTCTTTAATGTCCTCAGGGTCCCAGGCCTCCTGCCGCCTATGCTGCTGCCGAGGTGCACATTGTTCCCTCTGCCCCAGGAGTGGTTCCCCAGCCTCCACCTTCCCACCCAGTTAACTCCTGACATGCACCCCCCAACACTGACCCCGGCTCAAAGCTAATTTCCTCGGAGAATCTCCCCCCGCCACCCCACCCCTCATCAAAGCTGCCTTCAGAGATTTTACTGCAGTTTGAATTACAGTGTGAATATGCTTTATGCAAATTTGAACTTTGTGATTTTAAAATAGCCGGGGCTAAAAATATTAGTAAAATCTCTCTTTGTGCTCAAACTCTGAAATAATGAGCATCTCCCAGATTAGAATGAAAAGTCCCTCAGGACCACACAACCTGAGCTGCATTTCCAGTGACCTGTAGGTAGTGTCTCCACTTTGCCCCGGGGTAGCCTCTCAGTAGCTGGTGGACAGGAGCACCCCCGCCCCCCGCCCCGGGCTGGAGGCCCTGCACGTGCACGTGCTGTGGACTCCTGGGCGCGGCCATGATCATCACACACGCAGAGCTGTTACGGCGCTTGTAAGGGGTCAGAACGTGCAGCTCTAAAATATGCCCTTTGGCAAAGGCTTGTTTTAAGCTGAAGATAATCCAGAAACAGCAGACACCAAGCAACCTCTCTGCCCTCCGTTCTCTTTTGTACCAGGAAGGGCAAAACGGTCTCAGTCGCCGGAGGCTTGTATCAGAATCCACATGACAAACCTTGTCAAGGCAGCCCTTGTCCTGCATGAGCTTCGCCCAGACGCTCACCTTCCCGCAGTTTGCCACCCCGAAGCCGAAACTCCTTTCCCTTCCCTTGTCACTTCTCTACGAATTCATTGTCTTGTTAGCTGCCATTTAAGCTTGAGCCCTAACTCAAGCTTAGGACTTGTTTCTCCTGCGTGTCTGTGTGCTGCATGTGTTAGTAAACTCCTGCCAATCTCTCGTTTTTTTTCTTGTTAACTTAGCTTTGTCAATTTAATTTCCAGGGCCACAGCCATAGGCTGAGGGGGGTAAAGTGTTTTTTCCCCTCTCCATATGCACTTTGTTATTATAACCTAAAGTTTTCTAGACGCTCCAACAATATTCTCTCGTAGTCATGCTGAGGCTGAGCGTAGGGCTAGAAATCTTGGTTGATACTGTGCTCTGAAAGCCAGTCCTCATGACTCCTGGTGCCGACTGATACTCTAAACATCAGGAAGGACTGAAATCAAGAAAATTAAAAAAAAAAAGCAAATTAGGACAATAATGAGCTACCTTGGCCTTAGATTCTTATTCCTGTGGCTCACTGTTGGAATTATTTGAGTTTTGAATTATGCTAGGTCTTTGGGGACACAGCTCCTAAACAAGATCTACAATCTTATGTATATTTATGAAGTTATTGGATGAATATATTGACTCCCCAATTCTACCTGCCTATTCACCATTCTTCTGACCAGGTCCTAGTACAGAGCCTGGTAGGGAAGGGGAAAGAGTACTTTCCTCTACCCTTTTATGCTCTGTGAATGAGGCTTGTGAATTAAACTGACAAAAGACAGATTAACAGAAGGAAAAAGTTTATTTTGTGTGCATATGGGAGCCAACAAGGGAAGTGTACCTGACTCGTTAAATGGTTAGGGTTAAAGACTTAGTAGCTAATTTAGTAAGGGAAAGGGAAGGGGTAAGAAATATGGGAAGAACATACACGTTTCTTCAGGATGGACAGGTATTAAGAAAGTAGTAGTAATCATTTGTCTGTGCAAGTATGAGCAGACTTTCCATCTTCTTCGGCACCATAAATTCTGCTGCAGAAGGGATCTGGAGTAGAATTGTTTGTGTTCCCCTAGGGGGAGGAGATCCACCCTGGAGAGGAATTCATGGCAGCCTTGGAGTTGGTGGAGTTGCTGCTTTTAGTCAGAAAAAGGGAAGCTCCGGGAAGTTCCTTTTTTTTTTTTAATCTGTTCAATTTCAAAGGTCTTCATATTAAAAATAATCTTTGTGCAAAAGTGGCATACGTCAGGATGGCATATTCCAATCCCTTTCAACTAGAAGACGCAGCATTTCCCCCTATTTATTTGTTTCAGGACCTTCTCTAAGTGTATAGTCCACGTGCCCCACTGGCACCTATTCTGTGTGGAAGCCCTGGACCCTGAGTCCCATGACAGAATTAGAATGTGGTGGGGACAAGCCACTTATTCCAAAAGAACCGTAAGAGAGCAGACAGTTCCATAGAGCACTGTGCTGCAGGATTTTGGGGGGTGGTCTTTTCTGGGAAGTGCCAGGGCTCTGAACAACCAAGTTTCCTTGTTTACTTCCAAGCGGCTGGGAGGGGGTGGGTGACTGCAGAAACCTCTGAGTGGTGGCTCTGCTGGGAATTGAACTTGACTTCTAAACTGGCCCCATCCCGGAAAACTTCGCCCTCAGGACTATTTTTTTTTCTTTCACAAAAGAACCTGTTCTTGTGAACACGGAGGAGCCGGGCTGGCAGAAGGAACCGGCTTGGCCAGCCTCAGGTCTGTGCTGGAGCCCAGGGAGCAAGGCTGGTGGGCAGCAGGCCACGTCCACGTGCATGTCCATGGGCAGGAAGGGGCCGCCGGCCTCCCGCCGGGGCAACAGAGGGACTGAGAAAGGCTCCGGGCCAGAAGAGAGAGCGGAGGCCAAGTTCAAGGGCAGCCTTGGCCCCGAGGCAGGGCGTTCTCAGCTGGGCTGATGATTAACGAGGCTTCTGCTGCTCCGGAGGAAGGGAGGCCACCTCTGTGCGCACAGTCCGGCCTGTGACGCAAGCAACTTCCTGATGACAGGTGAGCGCGGGCGGGATTTTCCGGTGGCCGGCAGATTTGAGCCTGCGTCTGCGTGAGGAGAGCCGGGAGGCAAGAGAGAAGCTTTTTGGGAATAGAGGACCTTTGCTGAAGCCCCGAGGGGCCGATCCATCTGCCAGAGGTGAGGCAGACCCTGGGCGCGTGCGGTGTGGCCAGCAGACTTCCCGCAGGTACCCGCTCTCCTGCCAGGAGCCGGTGCCCAGCCCCCGCCAGCCGCTGGCTGGTGTCCAGGGAAATGTTGGACGATCGAATGCGCATCTGTTTCCCAAATTCCACGGAGTTAAACATTAAAAGATCGGGCTGCTCTGTGAGTTTAGGAATTTGAGGCTATTTCTATCAAGTGTCCCTTCTCTGGGGATGCGTGGAAAGCCGGACTGGGCTGGAATGTGGGGAGCTGGGGATTCAAAGGCTGGAAAATTCCCGGCTCTCGTGCTGTTCCCTGGACAGACTTTAAATGCCATTGTTCTTCCCCAGTGAGAGGCCTCATGGAAAGGAAATCGCTCTCAATCTCTGGAAGTTCGGAGACTCCCCAGGTCTGGCCAGCAGTGCCAAGACACCTCCGAATGCAGGGGCACCCAGAGCGGGGGTGCCGGGGTGTAGGAGGGACCTCGGTGCCTGGCTCTGTGCACACAGAGGTTTGCAGGGGCCCCCTCGCCTGGATTTCGCTGCAGCTGTTTCCCACTGAGCCCGAGAAACACCATCCCTCCTTCTTTTTGGGTTTGGGCTTCATGCTGAGCCTAAAAACAGGATGTCTACAGCCTTTGATTTTGTGATATCAGGCTGTTTCCAAGAACCCAGACATAAAGGTTTGTGTGTGGAGGGGTAAATGAGTGAGACGATCACATTTAGCAATTTTCTTCCCAAGCTGACGAGGCTGGTGACCCCAGACAGGTCTTCTGAGTGTTTGTTTTCCCCTTGTCGCGGCATCAAGGAAGTGATTGGCATTTAAATCCTGTCTCTTTGAGGCACTTTAATAAGATTGAAGATTTTAAAAAGACTGCAGTTTTTTTGGCGAAAAGTTGGCAAGTCAAGTCTTCTATAGTGAAATGAATGAGAAGTTCCATCTCAGACTACTCCGCAGAAATATTAACTTGCAAATTACCTGGCAGAGGCCCTCATTTAATTAAAGGGACTTGTCTGAGTTCAGTTACGACTTGAACCAATTTGATGACAGTTCCTTCCTGCACCCACCCGTCAAATACCGTCCCCTCACAGATGCACGTCTGGGACCCTGTAGCTCTCAGGGTGGTCCTGCACCACATGCCCTGGGGGCTCTTAGAAATGGACTCACTCTGTCATACAGAGAATAAGCAAGTTAAGTAATCCGGTCCTCGTCTGCCGCCTGGTTAACCTTGGTTTTCAGTGAGTAGAAGTGTTTCCTAGTGGACCTTAAGCTATGGCTGCAGTTTCAGTAACGTCGGGTCCACATGTCGCATTTATTGCTTTCGGTAGAATGTGTGACTCATAACTCGATGGCTCAGTTTCTCCTCCATCCTCTGCTGGGGCTAACACCCTGGCTGACTGACTGGTAGAGCGACTGGCTTATCCACTTGCATTCACTGACCCTTGAAAAAGAGTAAATGATTTATATGGCATTCGGTGGTCGGGGATGTTAAATTGGCTCTGGGGAGCCTGCGATTTCAGTTCGCTCTGGGTTCAGCTGCTACACTGCTTGGTACTGAGCCAGGTTGGTAGGGATCCTCTGAGTCTGGTTTTGAGGATGGCCAGGGTTTGAGTCACACGGTGGGAAGGTCCTGCAGCCCAGGGTCTGTGATCCTTACATTACACCTGGCAGCTATGGTCAACTACACCGGCTGGACTTTGCCTCCCAAAGACATTAGTGAACAAAGAAGAGGAAACCCTATGTTCCCTCTCGTGAGCTGTGAGCATCCAGCGACGCTCTGACATGTAAAACTGGGGGGAGGGTCTCGGGACGGGGCGTCCCTGATCCTTCACACCCCCGCTCTGATTCGTTCAGCACCTCCTGTGAGGGGCCTTCCACAGGCGGAGGTGGGGTGGTTATTACCCACGCCCGTCTCCCTTCTTGCGTTTCTGCTTGTGCGAGGCTGTGGGGTCTGCCTCCTACAGCCCTTAAGAGAGGACAGGAGATCCACCCATCACAGAATCCTGCATGGGGTCTCTGACAGAACCTGTGCCGCACGTGTTGGAGGGACGGGGTGGTTCCCCCCACAGGGCCGTGAAATCTGTGTGGACGCCAAAGTGAAAACTACCCCCTAGGTCACGTCTCTGTGCTAAAGATGTTTGAAATGAAGGGACACTTTCCTGAGGCCGAGGAGCTGAGTTTTTGCAGACAGTTCACAATACCTTCAGTGGGTGATTTAGCCCAGAGTGCTCCAGTGGCACCAAATGGTGCTGGTGACTGCCTTGAATGGGCCTGTCCCAGTGAGAAGGAAAAAATAAAAATAAAAACATTCAGGGATGGAGAGCGAGCACAGGGTTTATCAAAGAGCCAAAGGGTTGGCAGAGAGGTGTACATGCCAGGGCCCGTGTGTGCAGCCAAGGGACCAGTAAGGCCTCACCTCATCTACTGTGACCTTACTCGCACTGCTGTGACCTGCCCCTGCCCCTTGTCCCTCACTCTGCCCCAGCTCCTGCAACTCCTCAAATGCGCCAGGCATGGTCCCACCACAGGGCCTTTGCACCTGCGGTTCCACCTGGGATGCTCTTTCACACACGTGGCGGTCGTCTCCCCTTCTGCACTTCGTAGAGCCCCTTCTTGGGATCCTGTCTCTGACCTCCCTGTTCAGAGCACCAGCCAGCCCATGAACACCCTCCCACCCGCCCCTGTTCTATTCTCCTCCCGACCTCTTACTACCTTCTAATAAGCTTATGCTCTAGTTCTTCATTCTTCGTCTGTTTTCCCTTTTGATAATGAAAACTTGTGGTGGGTAGGGTCTTTTTTTTTTCTCCCCTGAATGATCAAAGCATCGTGATTGAAATGAGTGGCAGGAAGCCCGCGCTCCTATGTCTCGGCCAGTAATTCCATGGTAATTGTACGGCTTCTGCTTCCCCTAATTTATACACAGGCTTGGGAGCGAGATCATTTAATACAGTGATTCTTGAATGTGAGCGTCTGCCGGGATCGGTGCACCGCTTAACTCTTCAGACAGATTTCTGGGCTCGCCCCCAGAGTTTCTAATCCAGCAGGTCTGGGGTGGCCTGGAGAATTTTGCTTTTCCAACAAGTTCCTGGATAAGGCTGGTGCCCTGGAGAGGTTAGTCAGGCTAAGGAGGGCTGACTAACCTCTCCAGGGACACATATGAGCAGGGAGGGTCCCCGTAGCCTCTGGGTGAAGACACACTGTTACCTGCCTGCTTTGCTTCCCCAGGCTGACGAAGAACATTCGAGATGGAGGGCGGCTGCCGAGGCGTCCTGGCCGCGCTGCTCGTCCTGGCCGGGCTGGCAGGTAGGGACCCCAGGAGCTCGGTGGACCGTTCCCGGGCATCCATCTGGAGTGGGTAGAAGGGACCCAGGGAAGGCCAGCTGGGCGCGTGGCTGCCAGGAGAGTCTTCTTTAGGCACTTCCCACTGGATCCCCTTCCCACCCCCACCTCGCCAGTGGTCAACTCTAGAAGGTTCCTTCAGGTGCACCGGACCCCAGGGGCCCTCCTCACTGGGATCTTGGCCCCCGGGGCTTGCTTTGCTATCTTCTCACAGTCATTGCTCTTGTGGAAACATCCTGCCGCCCACCTGGATTTGCTCCTCTTCTGTTTCCATCTGGTCTCCAAGGAAGACCCGACTCAGGTGTCACCTCCTCCCTGAAGCCTTCCTGACCTGGCAGTTTTCAGGGTGATAATCCCGGTTCCCATGATTGAAAGGGTGGAGGACCCGCAGCCCTCCCAATTGCTCCTCCTCATCCTGGAACTTTCCCAGGGTGTCCCAGGCTAGGGTGTCCTGATCCGACTCCGCACTGCAGGACACGGAGCGTTCAGACCACGGGGCCCGAAGGGTAACCGGAGTCTGTGCCCTCGGCTTTATTTTGACTACGTCTTGCCTTGGTTTCATCGCTTCAGGCGCGTTTGTCCTGTTTTCTTAGTTAGGCTTCCGCCTCCTCAGGGCGCTCCTTCCGCAGGGGTCTGAAGGCATTGTGTGGAAGAATGACATACCTGCAGAAGAGTGCTGAGCCACAGGTACAGCTCGACACACTTCTACAAACTGAGCGCCTTTGCGTATCCACAGTGCGCCCCAGCGCCCTCCACAGACGCTTCCTTCAGTCCCCGTGCCCCCGCCCTGCAGGGCCTGCAGTTCTGACTTCTGGCTGCACTGATACTTTATACACCTATAAAACTCTATTTCTGGTGGCTAGATAATTAAAAAAAAACCACAAAAACAAATACAAAACTCTGTCCATGACAGCACTGAAAAAATAAAATCAATAAAATAGCGTAGTGACTGTCCGAGTGTGTCACGTGCGGTGAGGACTGTTTTATAAATTTTGGTGCTGGGTATGTTTACATATTAAACCGAGGGGACGAGGCTGTGGTGATAACATGTATTTGGGGGCCAAAGATGTTTGGAAGCCCCTGCCTTGTCGTTGGAGGCACTAGGCGTTTAGTGAGTACTTGGCATTTGTTTGTAGAGGGGGAAGCAGCGTCCCTGCTGGGGTGGAGTCAGGGACCACGGGCTAGCAAGCCAGGCTCAGCACACGTTGCAGGGACGTGGTTCCGACGTGGCTGCCCCAGCCACGCTGGCAAAAACATCTCTGCCGGTGGAAAACAGATCAGCGCTGGGTCTGCAGTTTTTCTGAGACATTTTCCCTGAAATACTGTTTTGAAGGCAGGGATGGCTTTGGTTGAGGCCTGGGTGTGGCTCTTCCAGGAGAGAAGAGGATTTTGGGCTAATTCTGGAGCCCCCTGGGGGATGGGGTCCATTGCAAGCATCTGAGCCCCTAGGATGCTTCATCTTGGAAAGTGCTGGCTAGAGATACCTCCATTTGTAGACTTGGCTTTGAATGATTGAAGGCAACCTCCATGTGCACCCAGAGGGCTCCTGCCCGCCCTCCCTTCTCCACCCGGACCCCAGCATGATGGGTTATTAGAACTCGACCAACCTATTTGTTCACTCAGTGAATTTTCGCTGAGGGCCTCTTATGTGCCATTTAGTTGCAGGCACTGGGATGCAGTGATGAGCAAAAACAGGCATAGTCCCTGCTAACAAAGAGCTTAGAGCCGGGCAGGGGACGGAGGTATCAACTGATAAAAAATCAATATAAAATCACCACAGTGACAATTACCTCACCGATTGAAAAGCCTGCTGTGGATAATTTGACCTAAGCAGGGCAGTCTAGGAAGGCTGGGAAGGCTGGGAAGACTTGACTGGGAGCTGAGGAGTGAGTGAGACCAGCTCTCCAGGTGGTCTCTGCCTGTGCAAAGGCCTTGGCCAGAAAGATTTGGTGAGTTTGAGACACTGAGACAGAAGACAGAGTTTGGGGTAAAGTGAAATTGGAAAGGAAGTTGATGTGAGACAAAGTAGGGTCTTAGGATAATGTCAAAGATTATCTGGTCTGTATATAAATGATGGAAATATTTTAAACAAGGTCTGGGGTGTGGAGGAGGGAGGAAGGGAAGGGCACCTGGCCACATGGGTGTGTTGAGAAGATCTATCTGGCGGAGAGCAGTTTTGGGCGGTGGCATAGTGGTGATGCCGGCACCTCCTGCCGTGGTCCGCAGGACCCCTTTCGGCAGCTCAGATCCACCTCCCTCCCTTCTCGGTGTCCTTCTGACGGTCCCAACCCCCAGCGTGCTTTGACTCCCATTTTCGTTTTTGGAGCTGCCTCATCTGAGCACTTCCCTTCCACTGCCCTCAGCTTTGTTTCCCTTTCTCCCTTCTGCTTTTGATTGTCTACTTTTCTATTCATCTCCAGTGTTAACTAAGAGAAGGGAGCAGGTGAGGGGTCTGTAGGTGCAGGAAGGAAGCCGGAGACGAGGCGAATTGAAGAGCAGACTGGTTGATGCAGACCCTCCATCCCCCATCCCCATGCCAGGGAGACACCAGCTGCTCTCCTAGGGAGCTGAGAAAAAGCCATGGCAGAAGAATGGTACTTATGTTTGGGATCCCTCTCTGGAGGGCTGGGAGGGGCCCGGCAGCTGGCCAGTGTGCCGCCATATGAGTGATTTCAGTTTCCCAGGTGTTAGGACGCAGCAGGTGGAAGAGAAGCTTTTCAGCCCTGGGTGGCGGCCAGTCGTTTACGCAGAGATACTGATGGAGTAGGATTTGCAAGGCAGGAGAAAGCAAGGGCTGGAGCCCTGGGCTTGGAACTGGAGGGTGTTAGTGTGAGTAGGAATCTTGCAAGTGGATCAACTCCTATAACAGAGGACCTGGTGATGGGCGATCGCCGTAGCTGGTGGCCAGGGGCGGGTGGGGGGACACGGATCACTCTGTGGCTCTGCCCCCGCGCGGGCCCTTTGCTCTACAAGGTGAAAGGGAGAGCACAGGGGAAAGGGAGGCTCTGGGCTGAGGTGGGGGACTGTTTGATTAAAGGTCTTATTTACAGTTTTCTTATATTTGCTCTGTGGAGGGCAGGTTACACATGCTGATAGGATCCAGGTGAGAGAGCGGCGAGGTTCCAGGGCCCCACGTTACCAGAAACAGAGCTTCTGAGTCTCAGGGCGGAGCCGGAGCGGTTTACTCCTGGGGGTGGCAGAGTGCAGGCCGAGACGTCAGGGGGTTTAGTGATTAGGATTTGGTGCTGCCTGTTTAACTTAAAGGCTGAGTTCAAACTCCCACGTCCCTCCCTCCCTCGTTCCCCGCTGCACAGTCAGGTACGTACCTGCATGCATTCCTGGTCCCACATGCAGTCTAGAGGGGATCTACGCTTGGAGCCCATAGTGTTCTGAAGTGAATAAGCTACCTGGCACCAGGCAGTGATGGAACCTGGGTTTCAGATGCTTTGCTTACCCTGTTGGAGAGATTTAGACTCAGCTCCTGGCAGGACCAACCCAGGTGACCCCGTCCTTGCCCTCCCAGCACCCAGCCCCGCGGGCTCTGTCCAGCCAACCCCCGGGACCAGAGTCAGGAGCGGGGAAGGCTGCTATCTCAGTGCAGAGAGTGAGAGCGTGGCCTCGGGGTGTGGATGTGGCCATTTCTTTTCGTTTCTTCTTAAGATGCAGTTCAGGGCTCGTGGAAAGATCCAAGTTGACACTGCAGCTGTGGCTTCCCTGGGGAATCATTTCTGACTTCCTTTCCTCAGGGATTTTTTTCCCCCCTATTTTAAAATCCCAGCTCAAAGGGATCCTTGGATCAGAGAGACGTGCCCAGGGGCAAGGGAGAATACCCAACTCCAGTCACATTTTCTCTTTTTCTATCATGCCCAGAGGCAAAACAAAGAATTGTGATCATGTTTACCCCCAAACAGGGTTGGTCCCGGTTAATTCTGATCTTTCCTCAGTTTCGCCTCTTGGGAGCCTGCGGCCCCTCCTCGACCCTGGCTGCCTCGCTGGCCGGTCCTGCCGGCCTCGGGGGCCCTGTCCCCGCAGCACGTTCTCTCCCACGGGCCTGGCCCCGCAGTGGGCGGGCATCTCGCGGTGCACGCTGGGTGCTCAGCTGGGTGACGGTGTGGTAACCGCGTGTCCGGCGGGGAGGCTCCTCCCCAGAAATCTTTAGAGGGGTAATGAGATTCTTTTAGAACTTGACTTACAACTTGACCTGATAAGATTGGAAGTGCTAACTAAAAACTGGCACTTGCCATCTGCCTCTGC